AGAGGAAGAGGGTGTGGGGAGCAGCTCAGATGCTTTGCAGATAAAGCCATTCGCTGAGTTTGTACCCCCCGGGGGGGGCTGAAGTCCCTTTCTCACACTCGAGCTGCATTTTTGACTGCAGTGCAGCGAGAGGCCTGTGCAGCAGCTTGTCTCTGTCCTGCTGCCTAAAATCTGTACCGTGTTTAGCAGCAAGACACCGAGAATTACGGCTTGGCCTTATCCCCCTGGAGCACCTTTCTGGCTTGCAGGCTCTCCAGGGAAAACCAGGCATTGTGCCTGCCGCAGGGATGAACGCCGAGGGGACGGGGACGGCTCGGCAGCAGGGTGCCAGCCCCGTGCCTGCCTGGGAGCAGACATCTTGAGAACCCACAGAGGCAGAGCAGGGCTGTGCAAGGGGGTGACGCTGGTACTCCGTGGTGTAAATACCTCTAGCAGAAACAAGGAAATGTCTGGGGACTTTGGGGAGGTTGCTGCCTGCCATATGCTTAAGGTATGGTTGGTGCAGCCCTTTGCGTTGGTATATTTGTCCCTCCCCTTGGCAAGCTCTTTCTCAAAGTGCTCCTGGCCTTGGATTTGTGTCTTCCCTGCCCAGGGATGAGCACAATAAAGTGATGGATCTGCAGTGTTGCATTGCTCTATTGCCTCTCCGCATTTCCCTTCCCACACCTACCTGTCCCACGTACCGCCTCTAGTTTTAGCAACTCCCCTCCGAGCTCATCTTGGCCAGACTCTACCGTTAGACTCTTTGATCCAATTGCCGCCTTAGGAAGCTGCTCAAGCGGCCCAGCAATCCAGCTGAGCATCCTTAGGAGCCTTCAAAACAACTCCATCTCCAAGCAATAACCACAGTGCTTTCGACTAAAGTCCTTTTGGCTGCAGCTGAACAGAAGTCCCTGCTGAGAGAGGGGAAGCCCGAGATCTCGCCCCTCCAGGCTGTCTCGGAGTTTATTTGCTGGTTGTAGTCAGAGCCATGACGGAACCTTCTTGAGAATCTCCTCTGCCGTGGCATGCTCAGCTCTGTCCTCCTCCAGCGGCCATGCCAGAGGAGGAGGATGATGGAGGGGAGGAAGGAACTGCCTGAAGAATTCCAGAGTGAAACACGATCTTTCGGCTTCCTGCTGCAGCGCTGGCTCCTGCTCGGGGATTAGATGCTGGTGGTGGGTCGGAGGCTTTACATTGTTGTATTGCACACCAGCTGAGGCGGTGCCAGGCAGCCTGGCCTCCTCTGCTGCGAGTCCGCAGGCGACTGGGAGCCTTTCTGCTTCGGGTTTGCCTTCGTCTGCTGTCTGATTAAAGATGCTGTCAGTGTATTCCAGCCCAGGGCTTGAGGAGGGAAAAGCCTCTCTGATGCGTGTTCTTGTATGGCTTTGTTTTAGTGGGCTGTTTCCAGGTCGTTGGATTTTTCTCCCCCCCCATTGAATAGGGCAATAAAACTTCATCCTTGCAGGGCTGGGTGTCCTTTGGCAGCGAATAAAGGATCCATGGGGGAAGCACTGCCTGTCTGTGGGAGTATCCCTACCACCACCTCGGCTGCTGGTCCGTACAGGGCAGGGAACTTCTCACTTCATTTAACACTTAGACTGGGTTTGAGTTTTGCCTTTGGCGGGCAGTGTGGCTCTGCAAGCACAGCGCAGCACGTGCAGTAGCGGAACGAGCTCTTCCCTTGTCCCTGTCTGCTCTGCAGCCTGTTCAGATGCTGACCCCTCTTCTGAGACCACCAGGCAAAAGAAAGGCAGGGCAGATATCTGGTGCTACACGTGAGCAGAAGGAGGAAAAGGCTTGTGATGCAGAGCCTGACCACCAACCACCCTGAGACGTAGCAGCTGCTTTGACCTGGCTTTTATTGCCAGTCCACTGCCTGGTTCATGAGCAGCCCCAGCCGTGGGTGTCTTGGGGGGGGGGGAAGGTGTTTATTCCTCCTCCTACCCCAACATTGCCATCAGGCAAGGAGGCTGTGGTCACCCCACGGCCGGCGCCTGCGGGGATGGGGTGTAAAGGGAAGATGTCTGTCTGCCAGCTCGAACAGAGGCTGAGGGTCCTATGGAGCGAGAGCCTGGGCGCTGGTGCAGCTTGTAGCCAGGGTCGGGTTGAAAGCAGCAGTGCAATAGCAGGGTCCAAAGTATAAACACGTCGGTCCAGCACCTGCCAAGCGGAGAAGCGCTGCGTTCTCCCTCTGCGCTCTTCCACGCTCCTCGGCTGTCCTCAAGCCCTCTCTGTGAGATAGCAGCAGAGATGGAGGGGGTCTGGAACTGTGCTGGCTCCCTCCCATCCTCTGCTGTGGCTTCTGGTGGTCTGAACTGGGAGTACGTGTTTTGAGCTTTGTGGGGTCTGGTTTTAAGCCTTCTCTTTTGAAAGAGACTCTGATGGCAGCTACTCAGCTCAGCAGCATCTTGTGCACAAGGGAGCTCACCCAGCTGTACCCCGAGAGCTGAGACTGTTGCTGAACTCTGGCACCTCCTTCAGCCAGTATAAATCTGCAGGATTTTTGTTTCGCCATGTAAACCCGCCTCAGTTTGCACAGATTTTGCCAGCTGAAATTTATTCTACACAATTCAAGATAACCTGAGTGGCAAAACTAAAGTTTCCGGGCAGGTAATGTTTGACCTGCTCACCAGTCGTTTTGCTTGGCAGAAAATATGCCTTTTTACTGGAATAAAAAAAGAAGTGTTCCTCAGCGCTTAGGACGTGAAAGCTCCCCGGCGGTCTGGGTCCCGTCACCAGCTTTGCCAGCGGCTCTCCGTGACGGCATAGCTGCTTATCGGAGATAACAGATGGGGAGACGTGGAACCTCCTGACCCTTTGGTCGATCTAAATCAGTGCAACTCGTTCAGCGCGCTCGGCTGGCTGCGCAGACTTCTTTGGAGCAGAGGCTGCTGATGAGATCAGGGTACTAGAGGGCTCTCTATTTTTCTTGAACCTAAGGGAAAAAGCCTTTGGTGTCTCCCCTCGCGGGGCTGTGTCGCAGCTCAGCATCTTGTCTGTGGGGCTGGGACCTCTCGGTGTCGCTGGTACAAGCCAAGAAGTGGCTAGAGAATATTTGCAAGGGCTGGGGGTGTTTTTAGCATAACCACCTGCCCCGCAGCAGGGACGAGGTGGCCGGCCATACCCGCCGGCAGCAGGGAGAGACTCTGACCCTGGATCTGCCCGGCTGTGGTGCTCTTACTGGTCCGAGCTGGGTTTCAACAGGGAAGTGGGGCCTCTCTGTGGTTTTTGGCTCTCTGAGGTGTTTCGTTTCAGCCTGGGGGAAGCGCCTGGCCTGTTGGCAGGGCTGCTCCTCCTCTGCAGTCGTGTCTCCCCCCCGCCCCAGCGTGAGTGGAAAGCTGAGAGCTGCACCAAGGGCTGCCCCGTCACGCGTTACCTGTGTGCTGCGGCGTTTACGGCAGGGGGGCCTGGGCGGCGGTGAGG